TCACACAGACTGACTACAAACAACAGCATGACAAAGTAGCAACAATGGTGCATTGGAATCTGCAAGAAATACCATTTGCCAGCAAACAAGAACTGGTGGGAATCACAAAATAAAGAAATAGAAAATGAGGAAGCTAAAGCCTGGATAGTTGACACTGCAATACCTGGAGACAGCAGAACAGAAGAGATAGAACTGGAGAAAATCACAAAATATAAAGACCTGCAAATAGAAATAGAACGACTGTGGCAAAAGGAAAACAAAGAGAGTATCTATAGTAATAGGTGCCTTAGGTGCAATCCCAAAACATCTGGAGCACCACTTGAACACCATCCGCACTGACAAAATCATCCTCAGTCAATTGCAAAAGGCAGCTTTACTTGGAACAGCTTATATCCTGTGACAATACCTTTAACACCATCAAACTACATCTGCCTATCCCAGGTCCTTGGGAAGGACTCGATAGGTAGATAAAAATGCTAAATCCAGTCTAAACAACTGGCTGATTGTGTAAGCAACAATCAATTTGCAAAGCAGAACTGGGCAAACATCCTTCACCACCACAGTACTTTCTGTACTTATTTATCTATTTATTTGTTTATTAAATTTGTATGCCACCCATCTCCCCCAGCGGGTGACTCTGGGTGGCTTAGCTTACTTAGCTTTTGATATCAGCTATGGGGTTAATTTTTAATAAGAGGCACAGAGAAGGATATTATCTTTCCCTTAGTATTTTGTTTCAAAAATATCAAGAACAGAAGTTGGCTAGGACATATTAAGAAGCAGAAAAACTGGATTATGGAGTAGGCAGCTGAAAAACTAGTGATGATTGGAAATGCATCTGCTTTCACTTCAACTTTATTTTGTGGAAACATTTAGACTCCACTCTCCAGCTAGAAAGAAGACAATGAATAAAACAAGACAGCTTTTGTGCTTAGGTTTGTCAGTGTAAGACGACTTTACAGCAAGGGGGAAAAAAGGGCAGGGAGGGAAAAGGAAAACAAGCAGGAATCAATTCTTAACATTAAACCACTTATCTAATGATAAGCTACAATGGAAGCAGGCTGCTCTAATTCAAATACCAGGTTTGATTAGCCTCAGACAAACAGTCTAGAGATGACCCTCCTTGAAACAGTTCTAATGCAGCTAGAAATTGCTGGTCCTGGCCTCCCAGAAACCACATCCTCCTTTCACTTTTAACTGCATTCATTGTTTAGGGGAAAGGCATATTCCACACCCATCAAGTGGAGCTGGTCCTGCTGTTTCTGCTTACAGGCACTTGATTCCAATGGTCTCTGAGAAGAGAAAGGGTCCACCTAGCTTAGCTGATAAAAGCAGCAGCAAAGGAGATGGGAGATAACCCACTCTTGAGCTCTGTCATAGAGCACTCTCCTTACAAACTCTTATTTAGATAAGATCGCAGCCTTGAGCTAACCTTGGATGATTTCAAGGGGAATTGAAGCCTGCTTTGCATTTGAATGGGAAACTCTAGAAACACCAGGCTGTAAGATAGACTGGGACATTTACAAAAATGTCCTAAAAAAAGGCAGGGGCCAACCACTGCAGTACTATTACCAAGAAAATTCCCATGAAGACCAGGATTTGAGCTCAACTCAAAGGAGATTTTACTTTTACAGTACTTTATTAAATAGCTGCCAATTAAGTGTTCTTTGGTAACAGTCTTTGGGTAGTCTGCAAGGAAGTGGTAGATAGAACAGAAGCTTGCCTCTACCACCTTTGCTGAACTCTCTCGCATGCTAACATCGACAGAAGTAGCACTGTATAGTTTTTACACTGACTTTCCCAAGACAGAGTTCCCTGCGTTACTGAGAATTCCTGGGACTTTGAAGGCCAATATATCTGGAGGATACCAGGTTGGCGAGGGCTACTTTAGGGTAAACATGGCCATAAAGTGAAGCTCTAGTTCACAATATTTCTTTTCAACTGCAGTATGAGCTCAGATTCCTCCAGGCTTCAAAATGGCAAAGGTGCATAGCAGATTTTTGGAGGGCTGTGAGAGGTTTTAAATGGGAAGGGAATGGTCTGTTTGTAACTGCTGTTTCATGTAACTGTACTGTTTACGTTTTAAGAAAGAGTTTAACAGTTATCACCTGACTTTATACATAGTAAGCAACCCTGAGATCTCTTGAGAACCATGCTGGCAAAGTAGAAAGTTTACTATAATTATCTATTATGCAGCTCTCTTTTGCTGTATCTTCTAACTCCAGCCACAGTTGGACAACTCTGCGTCTGTCTGTCTGGTGTGGTCTTCTCTAAGCTGGGAACTTCTAGATAAGTTGGCACTCTAATTCCTATTCTGTCTAGAAAAAAGGCTGTTCTACTCTAGCAAATCAGCAATATCTCCAGGATATGGAAAAGCCAGAAGAATTAATTCAATCTACAGTGTGCTTGAGAAAACCCAACAATTTCCCCCTCTTCTAGTCAATCCACAAAGAAACCTCTCCATCAAAACCATTCCTCCTCCTTCTGTACACATCTCTAACTTTATCCACCTCACCCACATTCTCATCTGAAGTGCTGATAGCCCAGTAACACTTAGCAGGCCGTTTCCTGTTCAACTAATACAATACACTGAGGTGTTATTTGCAATTGTGTTTGCATATGTGAAGAAAGAACTTGATCTTATATCTATGACAGAGTACTTGATTTTCTCAGATCTAGCAAATGAATCAGTGGCTAGTATTTGTACTGTAGAAGACTATAGAACGCTATAGAAATTTATAGAAAACAATGTTTTATTCTGTCAACATAGTCATATATGCACATCTACTCATCTATATACACCCACCCCCCTCTCCTGCAGGCTGCTACAAGTCTTATTTGTGGTTAGGAATATTTTAGAGACAAATTCCTGGTTGAGCAATACCTGAGGCTTTAATCATTGTAATTGTGATGTGTTTACAGACATGTGCTATGAATTTATTTTGCAAATTGCACAGCTGTTAATATGGCTTGGGGTGATACATTCCATCTGCAGAAAATGCTGCATATCACTGGAGATGTGAACAATAACATACTGAAGTTATGCTTGTGTACAACTTCACAGCCTTAAAGCAACAATCCTCAACATTGGTCCAAACTACTGAGTTCAAGGACTTCTGAACAAGAATCAGTATGAAATTAGTGCAATAAGCCCACTACATTTATTTTAGAACTCTTTAAAATAGAGCTGTAAATAAATAGGTCTATACATAGAACCATAATTTATTTTTTTATCTTACAGATGTATGCTTTATTTATCAAGGTGAACCAACAGAGCTCATAACATTAAAAAAATTCGACCAATATCAAATACACAAGAGAGATGATGGACTCTCTTTTGCTGGTGATGTTTGAGACTGATGGTTTCCTGTCTGGGATGCCGTAATTGTGGATTCCTCACTCAGCAAGAGTTGGACTAGATCAGGGTTCTCCAAAGCAGTCAAAATATCAACCCCCAAAGGGCGATGGGACTATCCATTGTTGTTGTTGTTATTCATAGTACTATTAGTTAAAGTAGTATTTATTAAATTATTTTCATATAATAAGTGTTTGAGGGTTGATGAACAATCTGAAACTTCATGAAGGGGTTGATGAGGTAAAGAGTTTGCGGACCCCTGGACTTGATCTACAAGGTATTTCTAACCCTTTCATTCTAAGTTTGTATGAAAGAAGAAATTCTTTAATTACACATGAGAACAGAAACAAAATAAATGTTAAATTACAGGGACTAAATACTAGAGAGTGAATATCCAATGTCCCATTAGGAATCAGCAACCTGAACTTGTGAAATTATCCATGTTCAAGAGTTTTAAACACACTCTTGTTTTTTAGATTCCCACTGAATGTGGATAGGGTCTTCTTGTTGTTATTGATACAGTGAGATCTGAGGGACTTTGAAGCATGCAAAGTAAGGCCTCAGGCAGCCTAGATGTCTGAACATATGGATGTTTTCCTGATGTTTAAAGGTCTTGTGTTACTTCCCCTCGTGGAACCGATAAGATTCTCTTGTGTACAGAAGGAATGGCTCCTTGCACTGCAAGTCCTATCTTGCCTCCCCTTCATCCTGAGATGTTTTTAGAGACATCTTGTTCTACTTTCTAAAACATGTAATTGATGTTCCTCTTGAGTGGGTGAAAACAATAAGCAGTAATGGGCAGCTATGCAGAAACACCTCAGAATAAAGCAGATGATTTGCTTTGGGCAAAATAAGCTCCAAATAATTTTTTCATCGATCATTACACTTGTATGAACAAACTTTATTGGGCATTGGTCTTATTCAGCCAAAATCCCATTTTCTTTATATTTGAGAGAATGCAGAGTTCAATGATAATTTCTCTCAAGTCCGCTAAACTGAAGCCTTTTTTAAAAAAAACATAACATGGGTAGAATAATTTCCCAAGCTGTCAAGGGAGCTGAAGGGCTGAGCTGAACTCTTTTTAAAAATCAAACTACTGCCTTGCACTGCCTAAATTTCCCCTTTTCTTTTCCTTTACTTTCAATGGATTTTAGAATGACAAGTCAAGTGTGTAAAATTTAGGATCTTGAACTGGTAATGCACAGCAATTGTGCACTGATTTGGGATCTAAAGGAGCTTTCCCCAAGCTGGTTACCTTTCAGATGTGAGGATGTGGTTACACTGTCTCAGAATTCAGGGACTGAATTCCATAGATGAAATGCTTAAAGAAGCAGAGTATCTGTCCCCATTTGTATATGGTATGCAAATGCCCTTGTCACCAATTACAGTTTGCATGGCAAGGTTCTTGTACTGAAATGTTAAAATTAAAAATGTTAAAAATTCAGAAGCCCTCTTCTCTTCTGCATCTGGCCACTCAGTGTGCAAGGACGCCCGTGTTGAAGCAAACTTCAATTGCGGCTTAGTTAGCTTGTATAGGTAGAAGTGGGTGGGCACCTTGTCCCTCACATCAGGCAAGCAACAACTTACATCTTGGACTTGTCACAAAAACTTAGTAGGGGAGAAAGACATGCTATTCTCAAAATAAGTGACTCAGTGGTCATATGAAAAATTGATCAATAGATTACAACTGTTGAGCAAAATGCATTCTCTCATAAACTAGGAGAAGGATCTTCCGAAGAGGGAAAGGCAATATCCTCATTAAGCACTGCTGTTTTCTAGCAGCAAAGGCTGCATCTGGAAGGGACGTGGTTGAAAACCTTTGAATGGGTGAACATGATGCAAGGTGGAATCCATCATATTGAGTATTAGGGTATTAATTTCAGATTAACTTACTTAGAGAATTTTGTGTGTGTGTGTGTGTGCGCGCGCCTTCAAGTCAGTGTTGACTCCTGGCAACTGCCTGGACAAGTCCCTGCAATTTTCTTGGCAAGATTTCAGAAGCGGGTTGCCATTGCCTTCATGCTAGGGCTGAGAGAGAGTGATTGGCCCAAGGTAGTCCAATTGGCTTCATGCCTAAGGTGGGACTAGAACTCACGGTCTCCCAGTTTCTAGCCAGGTACTTTAACCATTACACTAGCTCTCATACTTAGAGAAATATTAGGGAATATTTATGAAAGTAATGAAGAAGCTGAAATCTTTCCTGATGATGAAAAATAGAAATATCCTTATCAGTTCATCAAAAAAAATCACAAGTACCACCTGTATTAAATGGACCATGTTCGTCACATCATCCTGTTACACATCCACTACTGTTAGCAACAGTGGTTCCATGAGAATTCAGAAGTAAAGTGGAAGGTTCCCAAGACAGACATCTGGACATCAGTTACAACTGTGTGCCAGAAGCACATCAGGGTAGAATATGTGAATGCCACTTACCAAGACTCTTGCAGATGTCTCCAACAACCCTGAATACCACAGAAGAAAAGCTAACATTCAGTCTCACAGTTTTCATGCTTGGTAAGCGAAGGCGCAGAATTTTGTGCTGAGGGGTGAACAAAAGTATGGCATCTGCTTGCACTCCATATTTGTCTAGTGTCCAATGAGTTTTCAGAAGCCAGTATTTCTTTTGCTCCCACCAAAGGGCATAGTCTGACCAATCTTGCGATATCCCTAAACAAAGGAAAAGCAAAGCAGGAACGTTCAAAAGGTTACCCCCAAGACTTCTTCTGAAAATACCATGGAGCTGAGGACCTGGTTACACCTGACATGCATCCCATTAGAAGCACCTGTAGGCTATCTGGCCTAAAAAGAGAGCACAACAGGCTCATACACAGCAGCTGCATGAGGTTAGAACTCATTTTCAGTATCTAGTGTTCCCTGGGCCAGTCAATTTCTTTCAGCTCAACCTACCTCATGAGTGCTTGTTGGGAAAAATGGGAGAAGGAAGCACTTATGCCCACCTTGAATTCTAAACCAAAGGCAAGATACAAATAGAACATATACTACCCTCAGCCATCTCTATAATATATTGACTTCATCTGATGGATCAGGTGAGTTTTGGGTACCTCCTGGGCTGACCCAGTACAGTGGGGATGACTATACCCTTAAAAAACTAGAAGAACCAGGTTGGGGGCAGATCATCCTGGAGAAAATGTGGTTGTTAAGAGTTGACATTGACTTGATAGCACATAATCATCCTGGGCTTAACATTTGTCATTTCTTTCTTGTGTTTTACTATTTTATAACATATTCTAAATAGAAACAATCTAAAATATGTAACAATAATTTCTATTCTTGCTTTTCATTCTACCTACTGATGGCATTGATTCAATGCCTGCTATATATGAATACTAAAACTTGACCTAAAGAGAGACTGACTTGCCTTGTTGACTAGCCTCTGCTTGTTATGACCTTCCAGCTCTCTCCCTGACAAAGCCCTGGCATGTGGGATTTGGGAAGAGTTTCTCCTGTTTTTTCCTTCCTCCAGATACTTGCAGAAGTCACAGAAAACACCGCCCTCTCTATATGTTTCAGGGAGTGCAGAGGTTATGGAAAAGAAATGTCATCCTGTCTCATTAGTACACAGATTTGGATAAGATTAGAACAACTGGAATGAAGAAGAAGGTTGCCCAAGTCTGCCCCCAAATGAGTGGTTCTCAGTTCTTCCTATCTTAAGTCCCACCAATTGCTCAATCAACGAACAAGAAAGGAAAGCTACTTTTTGAAGGACATATATCCATTTACCCAAATTCAGTTATTAAATTAGCTTAAGTTTTAAGGGCAGAAAGCACTCACACTATAAAATAATGAAAGAGAGCTATTTGGGGTGAGGCCTTGTTTTCCCCTGTGGGAGCAGTCTTTCCCTAAACCCAAACCTAAACATACTTCCAAATAATGAGAGAGCACTAACTAGTGCAAAGTGTTATTTATTGTATTTCAGCTCTGAAGCCCAAAGCACTCAAAGGCTGCTTCAATCTAGGACATTAGGAAACACTCTACCAAGATGCTCAATTCCTTTGCCACAGCACACTGGATTGAGAAGGGCAGCGGTGCCCTCTTTCTCTGCTCCCCTCTTCCCTAATTTGGGAAGGAAAGTCACATCTCACCCTGATTACTTCTGCATAACACACAATACGTGTATCATGAAACACTGCTGTGGAGGATGCTCTAACTTCCTGAGACATATTTGGAGGACTTACTGTATTGTGTGGCTGCAGTGCAATGGGGATTTCTGTCCATGTGTTCCCACCAGAAGTTTCCAGTATGTTTGTATGACATAGCGGCACTAAACAAGCGTGCAGCAAATGGGCAGGTCTATAAGTGATTTGTCATGCAGAAACCTGCAGAGCTTTCAGATTTTCCTAGGAGGCTTCCTCACTAGAAGTCCAGTGTCAGTAGCCCATGATGAATGGAAGAGTAGAATTGTTGCTATCTGCTCAGGGATGCTATCTGCTTTCAGGGATCTGAGTTCACACACCCAGAAACCTGTATATTATTTGGGAGGCTCCAATTTCACTTGTATACACAGTATAGAATGAGCTGCTCACAGAAGGAAAAAAAAAAAAAGATTATACATTCTGGGGTTGCTTCAGGTCACTTGAATTTTTCTGTCCTTTAAAAACACGGTACTCACCAATTTGCTCCACAAGCCTGAGCATCAACCCTCCGACATGAAGGTCTCCTGATACTTGAAGGGTAATCTCTTTTTGTTCTTCTCCATTGTGATGATCAACTGTAACTTTGAGCTCCCAGGAATTGGAACCATATTCTTTTAAAGAAATCATAGCCCTGCTGAAAATTCCAACATTTGTTCAAAGTTTTTTAAAAAAGGGGAAATATATTTTTTCTCACATCAGAGTTATGTAAGAGCATTTGAGTTTGCTTAACCTGCTGAAGACCCAGCTGAAAAACAAGAGGCTCCTCTGTTCACTTTTGATTTGATGAATCAGCTCCTGGAAATTTGATCTGATCTCTTAACAGGTCAGTTCTAGAATGTTTGCTCCCTGGGGTGGACATGTGCACATACATGCATAGACACACGCTGTGGAGACATAGCACCCACGGTTGATGTTATTTTGGCACCTGCGGCAGAAGATTCCACAAGCATTCCTCCCACTGTCTGGCAGTAAAACACACAACAACCTATTAGGTAACTAACAATTTGCGGTCTTTTCAGACACCTCCTAAGAACTGTTTTACTCTGCTTGACTGCAGGGGCTGAATTTCATAGGAGGATTATTGTCAGGGAGTATTTTTCAGCTTGACAATGGCTCTAGCTGACTTTTTTTTTTCTTGAATGGTGAACAGCAGCCTCTTATCATGTGGGATACATTCAAAAGAAAAGTTTTGTGTCTTTGAAGGACTGAGAATAATATATTTGAACTCATGGTACCAAGTTCCAAACCCTTTAGTTTGGAAACCACAAAAGCAATCACTCATAAATTTGCTGTACTTGTTTTTAACATCTAAGTAATGTGTGGCATCCCCAATCAATCATTTAGAAGTCCTTCTGTACTTCACATTCAAAATACGTATTTAATTCCTTATTAACTTCAGCTGGAGCATTAGATCCCAACAGGATACCACCTCCTTATTCAGAGAACAAAGAATGCATTCCCCATGCTGGCTAGGGAATTCTGGGAGTCAAAGTCCACACATCTTAGAGTTGCCAAGGTTGAGACACACTGCTCTAGGTACTACTGATCCCATCTTCCATCGTCTCAAAACGGCCAATGATCAGAATGATGGCAAAGTTCAGCACTATCAGGAGTGCTCAGTTATTTAGCTCTGCCTTAAAGGCATGCCAGATGGGCAGGAAGTCCAACACAACTGAAGGCCCACTCTCTCAGAAAAGTGTCCTAGTGCTGAAGGTGAAAGCCATTGCTTTTTCTCTCACTTTTAACCCCCAGCAAACAAGAACCATTAACTTTCACCTAACTTCATGAAAAAAGGTTATTCTGAACTTCCCGCAGTATGGTGAGAAAGAGAGAGAGGAGGAGTAACTCGCTCTCAATTTCTCCAGGGCAGTCCATACTTCAAAGTCTGAGCTTTTTAAATCCCTCTCACTCTCTATCCCATTGTTTCCCCACAGCTGCGTTTTCTCTTAAACAGAGAAATGGTGCCTTTCCATTGGGGCTGGAAAAAGGCAGACACCCTTTAAGCATTTTGAGGATCCCAACGAATTACGGCTCTTGGGTGGTTTGGCTGCCGTAGATAACCTCAGTTCCCTTCTGCGCCTCAGGGGCTGCGTTCAGACGCCATGCCTTCTCCTGCTTCGTGCAGATACACTGACCCGGGGGGCCTGGCTAGCTGAGGGACCGCCTGTGTCCCGTTGTTACCGTCCGTCCGGTAAGATTTGGCCGAGGGGACGTACGCCAGGTCCCACTGCTGAGAGAGAGGCATCCGATTCGGATGGGACCCAGGTGGTGCGCCTTCTCGGTCCCGGCGCCTGCCCTTGGGATAATATCCTCTCTGACATTGCTTTTTCCTCCAGGCGCTAGGTTAGGAAGGGTGTTATTAATGCGTCTTAATCTTAATCTCCAGTTATCGATTTCCTTTCTTTGCATTAGATTATTTTTATCTTGCACGCCGGGCAGAATCTCGATGAGTTGCGTGGCCTGGACGTTTGGTTTTCGAATGAATAAATGATCATACCCTAACCAAACGCCCTGAATTTGCCCAGGGTATGGTTATTTATTCATTTGCTCTGAGGCCTCCAAAACAAAGCAAAACACAAGATTAACACCAGGCAAGCGTGGCGTGTTACGGGGACTTTCCTCACCTGGGTAAAGCGTGTCGTATGAACGCAGCCAATAAGTTAGTACGCCACCCCCTACCTATTCACAAAGCACATGCGCACTGATATTCCATTGGTACAATCAAGCTCGCAACTCCCTGCCAGGCGAGAAATCCTCGAGTTTGGGGATTCCGGAGCGGCCGAGTCAGTCTCGGCTGAGCTCCCCTACCTGATCAGCGCGCGCGCGCCGCCGCCGCCGCCGCTTCTCCCGGCCGCCGAGAAGAGCTTCACGCAGGTCCAACGTAGTTCCGACGTAGGAGGCGGCTTACCTCAGCCGCGCGCCCAGCCCCACCTTCCAAAGCGGCGGGGCCGTAAACAGCAGCAGGTGCTCCGCTCAGCAGCCACTCCTGCTGCTGCTGTCTCCTCCGCCGGCTATCTGGGAGACCCCCGCGGGCAGCGGGGGTTGGGGCGAGGCATTTGACCTTGGCCATGACCAGATTGCTCACTCAGTCTGGCACCAGGAAGCCGCAGGTAAATACGTGTGAGCCGGTAGCTCAGGCGGGGCTTTCGCCAGGGGGCTCTGAGGCAGGATGAAGGAGGTTGATCGGCACTGATGGGCAGCAGCCTTCGAGGTTTGTAGGCCTGCGATCCTAAATTTTAAACAGGGCTACCTCATATAGACTGCAAAACGTCGGACGAGCCCTAGATGGCAGCAGAGGGAAATCTGCCATCAGTTGCTAATCCGGATTTACGCAGTCCAGATCTGATCGTTTTATTTTATATGAACTGAAGAAACCACTTTCCCTTCCCAATGATTAGGCTGGCTACAAGCCTCTTTCTCAACATTTCTGACGGTGGTGGGGTTGAAATCAGGCATTTTGAAACCAGTGGACGAGCAGAAGCTGTAATGCAGTACTACAACCCCTCTAGGGACCTTTGGTTAGGCAGAAACATGGTGATTCATCCAGGCATGAGCTGCTCCCTTTTTCTGTTACTGCACATTGTTTTTAACGCTGCAGGGTATGTGATGAAAGGCCGTGCAAATTATTATTTAGTAAAAAAAAAAAAAAAATTCTATTCAGAGTTTAAAGGGGTAAACTGTAATTGAAGAATAGTTTCCAAAAGGAGTAGCTGCATTAGCTTGTTGCACCAACAGCAGCTGAGAGGTGTGTAAACTCTGGTATAATCTTAGGGACAAAAAAATTCAGTGTGTGGAATATTTGAGTCCTTGTTAATGCATGCTTGTGTCATCAGTGATGGTATCTAGCTACTCTCTCTTCTGGAATTGTTACTGAAGTCTGAAAGAAATTCAAGCTTAATTTCTTTTTAAATCACACTTATCTTTGGCAGTTGTTATGTTTATGGATGGCCACCTTGTGGACAGAGACAGATTGTTCCATGAAGCTAAATATGCTCCCCGTTGGTTTACAAATAGTGCTATTTTAATGTCAGATATGGATTTACTTATTCAGTGATGGTGATTATTCCCAAGAATTCTAGATATTTACACACTTTTCCCAGTGTCACTGTGCTGACGTTCATGATCTATGACCTGCATTATAACATATTTCAATATAATAAAATTGTATTGTGGAAGAGATAAGAAAATGACACTGTCAACATTTACTCTGAATCTAGGAAGGGATTATCTGGAAATCACAGAGGAATAAAGATTACTTTTTAAATTCAACAGCTGCAATCTGGGCAAACACTTCTTTAAGAATAAGCTCCTTGATTATCCTTGCACTTACTATTGAGCAAATGTGAATAGGTGTAGCAGACGAATGGACAAAACTTGTGGACTACTGACTGGCAGGTCTCCAAAGCCAAATGCAGGAATAACTTTAGGCTAGGCAGGGCATTTATTCTGGTCCTGCTTGTTCTTTAACAAATGGCTAGAAAATGGGCAGAGAAAAAAGAAAAACCCAAACAACTTGCTCAGCGGAATATTCTTAGAAAGTCTTACAGACTTGATAAATGTGTGTCACCAATAGAAGAGAATATCTGTAGCTCAGGGTTGAACTGTGGAGTCCTTGGCGTTCTCTGAGCTTGGTTGTTTTCTTGCAAACGTTTCGTTG